AGAAGAGGAAGATGGATGCTATGGAGCAAGCACAGTTTGCTTTTATTTAGGTTCATATGCATAGTACAAATGACCTCCTGGAAATATTCAGTTGAATCAAAACCTGTACTTGCTACTATAGGAACTTAAAAGTTTTGTCTTCATGGAATTTATAAAAAATTGAAGTTATATTTCTTTGTGGGTATTTGGTGAATTGATGGAACATTTTGTATGGATTGAAATAACTACTGACAGAATTTTGAAAAGACTTGCTTACCCTTAATAAGTTTATTATGTCCATCATGCTCATTGTTCCAAGTTTACACATTTAGACTGATTTTGCTGTTTAAATTTCTCCTAAACACACTGGTAGACACTGAACCTTAAGCCTAATGCCTTAAAATCTTAATTGAACAAAATTTCAACTCAGATCAGTTATAAGATGCTCCGACCCATGAGCTTTTATAGATTGTTTATTTCCTTTTAAGAAATGTGTTGCTTGTGGTGTACTTCTGTAGTGGTTTTGCAGAATGTAAGCTGGTTTTTTTTTTTTTTTTGAGGGGGGTGCAACTTTTTAGTCTAACATAGTGTCTTAAATTGATTTTCAGTAACTATTTCAGTCAGCACTTAGAACTGCTCTTGGGTTTCTGGTGCCATTATATCCTTGTGGTCAATAACTTTGCCTTTTTGTGGCTTACTTCAAAAATTAAAAAAGCTTTCTGTTCATTATTATTTTGGTATATACATTTTATCTCTCATCCAGCATAGTGCTGTATACTTGGCAGGTTGTCAGTGGAAATTTTTTGAAGAGTCAAAGATGCCGACATGACCTGGTCATCACAAGACTCACTTCCTGTCTTTCCTTCAGGCTTAACTTAAAAATCAACACGTGGGTTCCAAAGACCATTGTCTCTAAAATAGCCACCTTAACCTGACTCTCTTCTTTTACTCTGCTTTGTTTTTTCCAAAACATTTTTTCTCACCACTTGATACTCTCCCATAGGTGTGTAAGTGCCATAAAATCAGGAATTTTGTTCATTGTGATAATCCATCCCTAGTGCCTAGCACAATCAGCACAGACACTTTCAGTGGGCACTCAGATATAATTTCTGAAGATACAGTGAAGGTTAAAAATTGTGCCACCTGCCCACAAGGATATAAATATACATTGGAAATTAATTCAGCCCTCGTATACATAGATAACTACAGCACAAGATGGGTTCAGATGACATAAGAAAACTGCATTGAAAATGAAGGGGGTATTTTAGAGGCTTACTACTTCCAGCTGGCTTGTTAAGAAATTTAAGCTGGGTCTTTCAAACTAGAGAATAGATAAGCAGAGCCTGAGAGGTAGGAAAGTAAATAGGGTAGAGTGTATAAGAAAAGGTAAAGTGTTCAGTTTGCCTAAAATATATTAATGAAGAGCTAAGAAATGAGTTAGAAAGTTATGTTAGAACAGGTCAGTGACAGTCTCCAGGCTGAGTTTAGGTTTTGTCCCATTGGTACTGTGGAAATTGTTTTCCCCTCTTCTTTAAAGACAGTTACTATATATGATGACTGGACTTGGAGAAAGAGAACTTGTAGGTAAAGGAACTGATAGTAAGGTCAGCAAAATGACAATCAGATATGGAAATTATGTAAAATGAAAGAAGCTAAGATGATTCAAAGTTCTGAACTTGTAGGAAGAAAGATGATGCTGTTGAAGATAGAAATAGGAAACATGGGGCCCTTCCTGGTGGCCCAATGGGTTAAAGCAAACACTGTGAGCCAGTTGCAGCCATTTCAGTGCCAGTTTGATCCCTGGCTGGGAGCTGACCCACATGGTGCTGCAGACCCTTCCTGTCTCCCTGCTGCTCCCCTCAGCAGTGTGCTTCGTCAATCTGCCTGTTCTGCTCCCCGCTCTGTCACTGGTGAATCCTCTCACCGCCCCTGCACCTCTGGCCTGTGCCCTAGTTCTGCATGCAGAAATAAATAAATCTTTTAAAAAAGAAAGAAATAGCAAAAAATAAAGAGATTTGAGAAGGATTTATTTAATTTTGAACATGTTGCTTTCAGGTACTAGCATTTGAATGGAGACATGTGTTAGGCAGTTGGAAAGCTACCAAAACCTAGGATTTGGGAATTTTTTGCAAATAATTTTTGAAGCCTTGAAATTGCAAAGGAGAAGCCAAGATAGTACATGGAGAAAGAAAAGAAAATTACAGAGAACTAAATTCCTGGAACTTAGCTATTAAGAGAATGGAAGAAAAACCAAAGGAAGAACAAAAACAAGTAGGAGAAGCAAGGGGACTCCCTGGGGAAAACTAAGGAAAGATGTTTTCAGGAAGATACAAAATCTAAACCTATTTCTTCCAGAAAGAGCTCTCTGGTAACCTCAAGAAAGTGATATTTATATATATAGATATATATTTTTCTACCATTATATATTATTCAGCTATCCCTTTTAGCATTGTTTCTTCATATAGTTGGCTCTCAGTGATTTACCATATCTTAAGGGCATAGTGAACTTTTTTTCTTTAAAGATTTATTTATGCATATAGATCGGGGGTACAGGTCAGAGGTGCAGGGGTAGTGAGAGGATATACCAGACACAGAGTGGGGAGCAGAACAGGCAGATCCACTGAAATACACTGCTGAGGGGAGCAGCAGGTGGGTCAGGAGAGGTCTGTCATGCCATGCGGGTTGCCATACAGGTCACCTCCTGGGGCCGGGGATTGAACTCATGCTGAAGTGGCTTTAGCTTCTTAGTGCTGTGCATTAACCCACTGTGCCACCAGGGAGGGCAGAGTATTATAATAATATTGAAGTTCATTTTACCATGAAGTCCAGGGTCCTGAAGACTTGAAAGTGAAGCCATTGGGATAATTTGTGCTTTGCAAATTTTCTACCAAGTTAATCTGTAGCGCATTCCCTCTGTGATGTATCCTTGATCTTTGTTTTCTCTTTGGTAAAATAGTAAAAGTCCTAGCCAGCAGTAATTGAAGGATCTTAAAGTGCAATGAGGAAAATGGTTGACATAGTTTAGGAATTGAATATATGCTTGTGTTTTTTTTCACTGAACTAATTATAGCATGTGGATTGTCTTACTGTCTTCAAGGAATATTAATTTTATCACTTTTGTAGGAGCTTTGAGGAAAACCAGTAGGAATCTATATTTGTAACTAGAATAACTTATTGCAAGTACAAGAAGACAAATATTTAAAAATTGAAGCTGAGTTGCTGAAAAACTGACAGGAAAGATTTAGCAGCATTTTACTGAAAAACTTGGTTACTTTAGTGCAGCATTTCCAGAAAAGATGAGGATGGGACTGGAAGTGGCCCTCAAGTACAGCATAAGAAAAGAAAATAGTAACTCTGTGGAAGAGAATTTTTAGGTAATCATATTTCATCATGAGTTAACTTGAAAATTTTTTAGTCCACTTGTGTAATAATAGACTTTTGAAAACATAAGTACTAATTGTTGAGGCAAGGAACAATGAACAAATAGAATTAGTAGGTGGTTTGATGTGAAACAGTGTCTGAACAACTTTATTTGTTTCGTGTATCAATACCATTAAAAATAACAAAGATAATCTGATTAAAGTACACACCTAAAAGCACAGGCTTCACTTGGTGTGTTATATTGGGTACAGTGTGGTATCTTTATTAGCCATCTATTAAACCGAGGTTATTAGACTAAAGTTAACTAATTGTTAAAAACAGAGTAATCACTTATGGTGACATTTTTATGTATTTTACATATTAGCATTTCTTTTTTGGTAAAGGAAAAGGAGTTACTTTGATAATAATTTACCTCTTTTAAGGCCTGATCTCAAAAAAATATTTATTATGTCTGGATATTTAAATACTCCTTATTGAGAATTTTAATTTTTGAAGCTTCGGTGAGCTATATATGATTTTTAAAATTCAAAATAGTTTAACCACTATGGAAAACTGTTTGGAGATTCCTCAAACTGCTAAACATGGAGCTTCCCTATGACCCAGCAATCCCACTCCTAGGTATCTACCCAAAGAAATAAAAACACTGATTGAAAAAGATACCTGCACCCCCAGGTTTATTGCTGCTTTATTTACAATTGGAAAAACATGGAAGCAGCCCACATGCCCAAAAGTAGATGACTGGATAAAAAAGATGTGGTACATATATACAATGGAATATTACTCAGCAACCAAAAAAGAGAAACACATGTCTTTTGCAGCAACTTGGATGGAGCTGGAAAAGATCATGCTTAGTGAGATAAGTCAGAAAGAGAAAGAAAAATACCGGATGGTTTCACTCATAGCAGGAGTATAATGGACCAGGCGAGAAAATAACAAAAATAATGAACAACCATAAACCAGAGACATTTTGCTGGGGTGGAATGGGGAATGGGATCAAAAACGGGGGGGGTGGGGAGGGAGATGCACGGGATTATGGTGATGGCACACGGGTGACTTGGTGATGGGAAACCCGTGGGGATTACAATTGAGATGGAAAAAAAAGTGTACAAAATGATGTAAAAATAAACTTATAAAATTTTTTTTAAAAATTCAGAATAGTTTAGGTAAAGCAGGAAATATATATTGTCTTTCTAACATTTCTTTTGTGAGTGGTAGCAGTGTACCAATTCTTGCACCTATTAGTTGTCAAATTCTCTTATCTGTCACTGTAAAAATAAATTTTTCTCATTTACTATGAAACAGCAATTTGAATGGAAGGAATAGTGGACCTAGTGAATGTCAGTCTTTCTCCCATGTTTTCATCTTAAATAGGATGCTAGAGTAAACCAGTCTCTGAAGCCCTTCTGAATAAAGATAACAATATTACAGATTGTTTAATGTTACCCACGGCTCTTTTCTTTTTTCTCTTTTTCCCCAGTTTTTTTTGTATTTTTGACTAGCATTGGCCTGAAAATATTTGAAGAGGTTCTTTGTAAGAGCATTTTAATGCCATTAATTTTATACCTGGTATGGTGAGTTCAGTGCCTTTAAAATAAATTTTATGTGTTTATTTAATTATTGCACTTCTGATCTTTTTTTAGGCGAAACTTAACCAAACTGTCCCTGATCTTCAGCCACATGCTGGCAGAACTAAAAGGAATCTTTCCAAGTGGACTCTTTCAAGGAGACACATTTCGGATTACTAAAGCAGATGCTGCTGAATTTTGGAGGAAAGCTTTTGGAGAAAAGTAAGTCTCACAGTAATAAATTTGAACGATGAAAAATTGAAGCTTCTGTTGTAGGCTTTTATTTTTTTTATCTAAACGAATGAAATACTTAAAACATTGAAGGAAGAGAAAAGTAAGCCACTATAGCAAGAATTCAAGCCCCCACCTGGGACTGACTCACATGTCATAGCAGACCTTTCTTTTTCTCTCCTGCTGCTCCCCTCTGCAGTGTATTTCAGTAGATCTGCCTGTTCAGCTTCCCACTCTGTCTCGGTGAAGCTTCTCCCATTTCTTTAAAAAAAAGATTCACCACACTGTTGAGGGGAGCCATGGGGGAGACAGGAGAGGTCAGCTGTACTACATGGGTCAGCTCCCTGGCCAGGGATCAAATTCTTGCTACAGTGACTTGGATAGTCTCTTAGTGCTGGCTTTAAAACCTTGTGCCATGAATGAGCCCCTGAGCCCCAGTTCTTGTATGCATAAGTAAATGAAATAAATATTAAAAAAAAAAAATACATGTGTACCTACTTCCTGGCTATGGCATTGATTTTGAGAACTTTTCTTGTCCTCTTTTCCTTGACTAACAACATTTTAAAAAAAGAGAGAGTTAGATCTTTGCAGATATAGTTGAAACACCAACTCTTTGAAACTGTTTCTCTTCCCCATCTATTCTGCTGTTTTTAAAAAAATTTATTATTGGACCCTCCCTGGTGGCACAACGGGTTAAAGCATAGCTCTAGGAAGCTATCCACAGCCACTTCAGCTAGCTGCAGCCACTTGGTACAAGTTTGATTTCTGCCATGGGAGGTGACCCACATGGTGCTGCTGACCTCTCCTGTCTCACCCGCTGCTCCCCTCAGCAGTGTACTTTGTCAGTCAGGCTGTTCTGCTCCCTACTCTGTCTCTGGTGAACCTGCTCACTGTCCCTACACCTCTGGCCTGTACCCCAGTTCTCTATGCATAAATAAATAAATCTTTAGAAAAAAATTAGTGTTTTTGTGTCCTTTGGGTAAATTCCCAGGAGTGAAATTGCTGGATCATATGGAAACTCCATTTTTAGCAGTCTGAGGCGCCTCCACATAGCTTTCCATAGTGGTTGGGCCAGCTGCATACCCACCAGCAATGTAGAAGAATTCTCTCTTCAGGATACCCTCACCAACATTTGTTGTTGCTAGTTTTTTTAATATGTGCCATTCTCATTAGTGTAAGTTGGTATCTCATTGTGGTTTTGATTTGCATTTCTCAGATTACAAGTGATGTTGTGCATTTTTTAAAAAAATAATGTGATCTTTATTTTTACATCATTTTGTGCCTTTTTCCATCTCAGTTGTGATGTTGCACATTTTTTAATGTCTTTTGGCAATTTGTATTTCCTCTTTGGAGAAGTGTCTTTTTAGCTCTTCTGCCTATTTTTTGACTGGATTGTTCACTTTGTTTTTGTTGAGTCTCATTAGATCTTTATAATTAGGCCCATATCATTAGTATTGTGTGCAAAATGAACATTTGCATTTTAAGTTATTTGTTACTAAAAATGGTTCTGCAGTGAGCAAAATTGTATTTATCTTAATATTTAAGTAAGAATTTCTCCAGAGTTATATCAATCTAGGAGTGAAATTGCTGAGTCAGTGTCTGTCATAACTCATGCTTTGCCTAATGTTGCCTAATTTTTCCAAAGTGGTTGTACTAGTTTATATTCCTATAAGTGACATACATAAATACCAGTTTCACAGTTTGGCTAACACTAGTAATATGAAATGGTATCATATTTTGCCTTATGCTCCTGATGTCAGGGGAAGTTGAGCATCTTTTCACATTTAAGGTCAGTAAAAATTCTTATTCTGACTTGCCTCTTTTTATTCTTGCGTTGTCTTTTCCTACTGTTAGGATATTAATTCTATGTTAATTCCTTATATTACAAATGCCTTCTAGCCAGTGGCTTGTTTTTCCATTTCCTTATATTGTCATTTGATGTTCAGAAGTTTTAAATTATGTAAACAGATTGTGTCAAGTTTATGTTGTGTAGTTCTAATATAAATGTTCTTATGTATTTAAATTTAAAAAACCTGAAAAGGTAGAAAACAATAAAATTTTTCAGTTGCCCAAATAGATTCTAGAAACAAGTCTCTTTTTATATTTAACAAATTATTTATTTATATATATTTTACATCATTGTTCATTTTTGTACATTTGCTTTCTTTTCTCAGGTGTTGTCCCCATAAAATGTCCACTACCAGTTCACTCGCGCACCATCACAACAGTCCCTTGTGTTCTTCCCGCCCTTGTTTTGATCCCTCTCCCTCCCTGTCCTCTGCAGAATATTTCTGATTTATAGTTGCCTGTTTATTTTTGTTTTGTTTGTTATTTTTTCCCCTTGATCCTTTACTTGGTTCCCCTGTATTCCTCCTATAAGTAAAACCATCCAATATTTTTCTTTTTCCTTCTGACTTATTTCACTGAGCATGATCCCTTCCAGCTCCATCCATGTTGATGTGAGTGGTATGTGTTTATCTTTTTTGATTGCTAAATATTACTCCATTGTGTGTATATACTACACCTTCTTGATCTAATCATCTGTTTTTTGGTCATTTGGTTTATTTCCATAGCTGAACTGTTGTAAATAGTATTGCAATAAATAATAGAGGTGCAGGTGTCCTTTTGAATTAGGAGTGAAATTGCTGGATGATATGTTAGCTTCGTTTTTAGTAGTCTTTTAAGTTCTTCTGCCCATTTTTTGACTGGATTGTTTACTATGTTAAGTTGTGTGAGTTCTTTCTGTCTTTGTGATCAGTCCCTTATCAGTTAGATGGAGTGCAAAAACTTAGAAACATAAGTCTCTTTTCAAATACCTTCTTTATTTAAAAAAATGTTTACATAGAAATAGAATAATTAGCAATATCTAAAACCTCGCTGAAAATAAATGGATATAAGTTCAAATTTGTTTCTCTAATGTAATAACTGCATTAAAAAAGAATTCAAAATGCCAATACCACTATTTTCATATGGGTAAATATATAAACATTTCTATGATAATGAGATTATAGTATTTCAAATATCTTGTGCATGTGTAGAAAAACTGGGGTTTAGGCCAGAAGTGTGGGGTGTGAGGGAATGGGGGTTGTGAGCGGGTTTACCAGAGACAGAGCAGGCCCAGGCCCAACAGACCAATTTACTGAAATACACTGCTAAGGGGAGTAATGGGCTAGACAAGTTCTCTGCACCATATGTGGGTTAGCTCCCTGGCCAGGGATTGAACTCAGGCCATGGCGGTGATAGGTAATGCTGAGACTTAACCCCTAGGCTGGCCACCAGGAAGGCTCTATGTGCTTTTTAAATGTCAGTTTGAACATAAACATTCAGTTAATAAAAGTCTGACCCCAGATTGTGTTTACTGTATAGTCACAGATTACATTTATTATATGAAAAGAATGACCTCATCTCTTCATTCTTCTCTAATAGAGGAACATCTGAAGAAAGTTGAGAAAGGGTATTAATTTGTGACATTTGGCCAAACAATAGTGGAAAATGACTTGTCTAATACTAATTCACTCATTAGAAAATGAATATATATTTTACTTCCTTTTTGTTCTCAATCCAAAATATAGCTCAGCTTTAAGAGAATTGACAGTGATAGTGAGAGCTTTCTTTGTGAATCTTTTCCTTGATTATAGCTTTGCCAGGAATTATCTGTTTTCTCACTCTGTGCCTTCTCTCCCACCCCCACCCTAGGACAATAGTCCCTTGGAAGAGCTTCAGACAGGCCCTTCATGAAGTACATCCCATCAGTTCTGGGCTGGAGGCCATGGCTCTGAAATCCACTATAGATCTAACCTGCAATGATTATATTTCAGTTTTTGAATTTGACATCTTTACACGACTCTTTCAGGTAGGATACTAAGAGGTTGGCTTGTTATTGCTACTTTTTTCAAGAGAAAGCTTTAAAAAAAATAATTGGGTATTTTACCAATAAAGGATAAAGGTAAATTTAAAACTACCTTGTATTCATGTACATATTTATTATACATATTGATAAAAATAACTGTGCAACCTGCTTTCTTCCTTCACATGATCTGTTATTAAATATTCTGTTACATATTTATATATGTTTCCAAAATTTTCTCCTCTTGTAACAGTTAATAATGAATAATGACATATATTGATGCTTCATTGAGAAATACTTTTTCTAAAAATAATGTGTGTTTATATACCACCTTGCACAAATATTTAATTGGTATTTTTTAATTGTATATTGTACTCTGTTCTGTTTTTCTTTTTGTCTAACCTCACTATTGTTAGAGTTGCTTTAAAATATTTAAAATTTTATTTTGTTACATTTCTCTTGATAAACATATATTGATTTCCTCTTAAGTTTTCAAAGTCCTTATCTCCCAAACATATCTGTCTTCTTTCCCTCAAAGTGACAATAAATTGAGAATTGAGAATTGAAGTGATTTTCCTTTTGTTCTTCCTTGCTCTTAGGCTGCTTATATGTCTTGAACCTAATTGATCTCTTGTTTCCTTAGCCCTGGTCCTCTTTGCTCAGGAACTGGAATAGTCTTGCTGTGACTCATCCTGGTTACATGGCTTTCCTGACGTATGATGAAGTAAAAGCTCGGCTTCAGAAATTCATTCACAAACCTGGGAGGTCAGTGCCATGAAACAAAAAGGTTTAAACTCCTGAATTTTATTTTCCTGTGACTTTTGTTGGGATTAAGGAAGCATGATCTTTTATTCATATCCTAGTGATCACAATTCTGCAATAGTATTGATGTTTGTTTATTGGGGGAATTGACTTATTCAGTCTTGTGATTTCATAAATCCTTTTAAGCCACTTAAGTATTAGACATATGTGCTTTTGGTTTTGGAGTCACTAAAGAATCTATTATTGATGGTCCTTTTGATTTTTCTCTCTGTCTTGCCTTCCATCCTAATTGGAATACATATATCAATGATTCTGTTTATCTCTGTTTTCAGTTACATTTTCCGCCTGAGCTGTACACGTCTAGGTCAGTGGGCCATTGGGTATGTCACTGCTGATGGGAACATTCTCCAGACAATCCCTCATAATAAACCTCTCTTCCAAGCACTGATTGATGGCTTCAGAGAAGGCTTGTGAGTTCCTACTATTTACCATCTGCTAGAGTCTATGAACTTAGAGGCTATAAAACTTCACCATAAATTATTCTATTCTAGGTTTCTTCTATAAAGTAAGATTCAGGAATCATTAACAGATTTGGCCTTCAGATTCTTAAGAACTTTTTGTTTTTATTTAGAGAGATTCCTTAAGTGAAATTATTTTTCTCTACTGCTTCAGCTACTACCATGAATAAACTTCTTCTTTTCCAAATTTTTTTTGTTCTATTAGACTTTAAAATAACACCAAATAGGCCCTCCCTGGTGGCGCAGCTGGTTAAAGCACAGCACTAAGAAGCTTAAGCCACTTCT